AGTTTACATTGTACATGGCTAGTTATAACTACATGGGGCCTGTGAAAACCACTTCCTCAACTTAGGCAAGCGGTAGGCAAGTGAAATAATGTGCACTTATAAACTGTTTTTAACCCTAACCATCCCAAATCCTCCAAAAAGCTTTTTGCAAATTGGAGGAATTTGCAGGATTGAGGTTACATGGCAAAATTGCGTTGCTGATTTCGGAGGACGCATTATGTCAAGGTCTTGGGCCGGACCTTGTGTTGTTTATGCTCAGCCTAGCATAAATGTATGCCTTGATTGTACTTGAAACCCTTCGCACTGTTCCAGGATGTCACTGCCTCAGTCATAGCCAATAGGAGGATTTTGCAGGATTCAAGCAGTGGTCACCTCTCCACGGACCATATTCAAGAAATAATGGAGGAATTTGCAGGATTGAGGCTACATGTATATGCTACTTTTCCATGAGGCCAATTGGAGGATTTCGCACGATTGAGGCGACATCCTAGCAAAAAGGCCTAGGGAGTTTGGGTTAAGATTGCTCAAATGCACTGCAGCGTGTTATAAAGGGCAGATCAGGGGCAAGTGGTTCAGTAGGCACCCCCCCCCCCCCCCCCCCACTTTATCACAAATCTCTAGTCAGTCCTTCAGGCCTTTGATCTTTTTATATGTTGACCTCTCGACATCCCAGCCACCTTATTTCAAATACAATTGATTGCTTTTTGCCTAAGACATATTATTTTCTGTCTTTATGAGCTGTAGGCCCCCTAACAAGTCTCAGAAACAATTGTGAAAGTTGCGTTCGCCATGCTATTTACGAGATCCATCCCTCCCAAAAATTTCCTTTTTGAAATTGTTATTTCTCAAGCAAAACAAAAATGATTCACTTTTGAATGAGACATCGACTGGAAAATCGGCCCATGTTTAGTCATTGAAATATTACTTAATAATTTTGAATTCTTGGCTGCCAGACCATAATTCCTGCTTGCAAAGTGGATCCATTTGTGCCCAAAACAAAATCTTTTTTTTTTCCCCCTGAGGGTTGCAGACATCCAAAAAAGTAACAGGACAATTTTTTGTTTGGAATTAAAAAAAATAATAATTGAAAATGCATTAATAGGAAAAAAACCCAAATTTGTTTGTACAGGGAATGCAACTTTTATATTTTCCAAAATTTCTGTGCAAAAGTGGGCTACTGCATGTGAATCTTTCTGCAGGCTAGCAAAAACGGAACTGTTCATTTCTTCTTAAAAAAAACCCTACAAATGAAGGGGGCAAGACCATCAGAGGAAGGAGAAACTGTAGCCTTCCAAACACTTCCCAACGTGTTGTTTACTTGCAGAAGAACCGATACTTTATTGTTTTTTCAGTAAGGCAAATATTGACTCACATTGCATGGTTACGTATCGTGATCCAGTCAAATTGCCTACGGGCACCATGAACCATGTAAACAACAGACAAAAATATCAAAACTAGGTCATCGTATTGACCATTTATTTTAAAAGCTCAATCAAATAGTTCTCTGGGGCTGATTGGAATATTTTTTTATATTTTTTATTCATGGCCAGCTATAAATTTATCATTACCGGTGGTTAAACTCAGTTTGCTTAAGTTATGAGCTATTAAATGAGGATTTGCAGGTCTTGTTTGTTTACCAATGAAGCTGGAAGGGGGGGGGGTCTCGAGCGAGAAACCTTTGCAGGGCTTTATTTACAAGCTCGTGTGATGGCCTCAGACCAAATGAAGTGCAAGAATTCATTGCGATGACGTCAAACACAAGTTATTATGGCACCGGATCGCCTGCATGTGTGTGTGTGCCATGTGTGTCGGAAGAGAGGCAAACAACACTGTGGCTATTTATAGCCTCCTACACTGTGTTTGGCTGCCTCACGATGACAGTATATACGAGGGACCGCTTGAGAGGATACCGGTTAGGAAAACCAACGTCCCTGGTGTATTTCTGGAGCGGTTTGTGGAGGTGGTGACTCCTTTCGTGTCTCCACTAAATCTGGCGTCCCTTTCGTTTTTATTGAAATAGATTTGGGCACTGACTCCTAGTATGTTGTGCCGGGGCATTGTGGAGGCGACAATTACAGGCTCGTTACATGGCCATGTTTGTAAGGATACGGAAAGGAAAATGGACAAGGACAGAGGAAGAAAGTCTCCGAATATAACAGGACAATGGCGGCGTCAAGAATGGCCAGCTTGTGCGCCGCTATTATTAGATCCCAGTACATGTGGATTCGCAACTTGAGAAGCGTGCACCTTTAGCTAAAAAAAAACAGAAAAAGGAAAAGAAAAACAGAAAAGAGATACTGCGGAATACACTTGGGATGGTTAATTCCTGGAGGCGGAGTGCGTTGCCTTCTCTGCCTGTGACATTTTCAATGTTTTCACTGTGCTGTGATGTAACGTATCTTAATCTCTCGTTTCGTACATGTTTCTTCGTTTGAAACGTGGGGGGGGGGGAGGGGGGTTATTAGGCCTTAGCAGCTAGGGACCCTGTTATGGGGAGGTTTTTTGTGGGGTTTTTTTTTTTAAGGAAAACTTGAACTGAGTTGTGGGGACATTGAGTGTCCCTAAAACTGTCGTGGTCCCCGCAAAAAACAACTTGTACAACTCCAGAACAACTAGTACATGTATGGTCATTTCTGTGTCTTTATTATAGTCTCAAGTGTGATTTGAAAGGGTGCTTCAGTTTGGATAAAAGGAAAGGAAGTTTTAGGAATTACTCGTTGTGCATGTCATTCAAAACAACTTCACGTCAAGTCAACAGCGTCTGTCCATTATGCCATCACACCTATGCAAACATACATTCTGTTCCAAGTTGTCCTTTCAGTCAAAATCAATCAAGTGTCTGTTTTCAACAGTTAAGAGCTCCCAGCTTATATAAAGCAGGATTGACTGGCTGTGACTGTTTATGTAACTTGATACAGCTATGCTTTGACTGTGGGTGATTGATAAACTAGCTGTGCCTCACTTGCCTGTTTTTGTCTGAACACAGTGCTTGCTTGAAATACGATCTGACTGTTGGTGACTAGCCTGTGTAAAAGGCATGGCAGGGGAAGAGGATTGCTTTTTTGACTGTCTGTGACTGTTCAGATAGAAGGAGGGTTAAGGTCCATCGCAGTTTTTTCTTTGATACTTGTTGAAGGCCAGACCGTAAAGTTGCTTTTTGCAACATACTGTTCCTAATGCCTTTCATTTTTCCGTTATACCATCGTCTTTCCAATCAATCCTGATGAGAGTTGCAAATAAGCAGGGCCAAAATGACTGATATTGTGAACATTTAACCCTTACTCCCCAGGCATTTTTGCTAGGATGTAACCTCAATCCTGCAAAATCTTCCAACTGCCTCCATGCAAAAATAGCATACAGCCTCTATCCTGAAAAATCCTCTGTTATTTCTTGACTGTGGTCCTTGGGTGACCACTGCCTCAATCCTGCAAAATCCTCCAGCAATCACTGTCAATATGTTGAGGCAGAGCCAGTGACATCTTGGAGCAGTGCAGAGGATTTCAAGTATAATCTAGGCATAACTTTTTGCACGGCTGAGCATATAAACAACACAAGGTCTAGCCCAAGACCTTGACACAGTGCATCCTCCCAAATCAGCCACACACTTTTGCCACATAGTCTCAATCCTGCAAAATGCTCCATTTTGCAAAGAGGATTTTGGAAGGTTAGGGGTTAATGTTATTCACTATCAACACGGAATCCCCCAGAAGGTACAACATAAACCACAGTCATTGATGGAATTGGACGGATTTACAATTGCATGATCCGGATGCAAATGCTATCACGTTATAAAGAGAGTAGCCAAGGCTTGAATGAATGAACTGTTTACTTAAATGGGACTCCATTCATTTCTTAAAGGTATAGTCCATCATTTGTAAGTTGTGCATTTTATTCGTTTGAAGCAACAAAAGTGCTCAAGATCTAAAGAAGGGTGCTGAACAACTAACCTGATGAAGTTTCAGCTCAACTTTAGCTATATATTTTGAGAAAAACAACATTCTAGGATCTCAATTTCAAATCAAAAGTTGCCGAATCATGTTTTGAATTGGGCCTGAATTCAGCACCTGAGACATGTTCTCACTGAGCCGATTGCAGCTTCGCGATGTTGCGCACTTATCCGGCGAATTATAGCAACCGCGTGCGCGTGTGCGTCGTGCCAATGCTTGTGCGCGCTTCGCCGAATAACAAAACAAACTACTAATTTGAATTTCCTACGGTGCTTCTTAAGAAGCACCCTTGGAAAGGCCTTCTTTTGTTGATTTCTTCAAAATGACAGCTTGCCAGAAATTACAATTTCACAGGGAGTTTAGTCCCCTTTCTATCTTTCAACCAAGTATGTTTTTCAACAATAATTACGCCAGTTACTTTTTGGATAGCTGCAAATGATGGACTCTGGCTTTAAAGACCAACTCAGTCAAATGAAAAACTTCAAATAACACTTCTTGTTCAACACTTTCACATGAATAATGACCTTAAAGTTGCGGTCCCAGTGCTCTTCAATAAATTAATTTTCTTTGTCAATTAATAAATGTTCAACTCGTATGTTTTATTCCAACCAAACGACCTCCTTCGTTTCCTCTTTTGGATGTCTGCATCCCTCTGAAAAACAAAGTGAAAAGTTTTCGTTTATTGGGCACAAACAGATCCGCTTTGGGAGCAGACTGGTTCCCGGTCCGTGCAGTAAGGATACTGATTGTTAGGCCGGACCCAGACTACTTTGCAAGATTGGAATTATTCTCTGGCAGCCAATAATTCGAAATTGTAAAAATTTTTAATTCAATAGCTAAACATGGCCCGATTGTTGTTTCGGAGGATGTCACATTCAAAACTGAAAAACGTTTGTATTGGCTAGACAAATAGCAATTTAAAAAAGGAATCTATTTCGCAGGATGAATTTTGAAAGTAACACGGGGAATGTACTTTAAAGCAGGGAACAGAGGTCCTTCATTCAGTAACAGTGTTTATGAAATCCTGTCTTTTCTTCTCTGTGTGATATCCAGATGAACTTTGGAGCGGGCGGCGAGAGAATAAGTCCCTGTGCGTCAGATTCAGATCTGCGATCCCATTCGGAAGAACTCATCAGAACGGTAAGATTCCTTATTCATTCTGTCTTTATTGAATAGTTAACTAAAATATTTCGAATGCATTTTTTCAAGTCCAATCTAACTACATTTTGTTCTTCATGCTTGCTTCTTTGAGATTGAGTACCCCCCCCCCAAAAAAAATGGCCTAAACCCTTTTTTTTGTTACTTTGTTTAATTTTAGCAATTTTTAGTTATAAGTTTGAATAAAGAAATTGACTGGACTAGCATTTGAACCCGTGTCCCCAGCCCCAGGAACACAGCACAGGTGCTTTGCCAACTGAGCTATGCATGGTGTGGTGGCAGTCTGTGCTGGCTGGAGACCACCAGCATAAGACTGGACAGCTCAGTTGGTAGATCCCTGGTGTGGTGTGCCATAGGTGGAAGGTTCGAATCCTGCTCCAGTCAATGTTCATCCTCAGTAGTTGATTACATAATATTGTTTTTTTTTAACAAGATACATAACTTTGATTGCTTAAAAATATTGATTATTTCCAATTCATCCATTGACTAAATTTAGTCAAGTAAAAGGTGATAAATACTACATTCGTCCTTGGGTACAGAAATTCCAGGTACAAGGCAAAATTTGAAGGATCTAGAGAAAATATTCTTCTTTATTTAAATAAGAAAAGTGATTTACACGATCAAGTCCAATGCCCCCAAATTATCCCTGCATTTAAATCATTCACAGACTTTTCTGTAAAAAACAAAAACAAATTCAATTCACTCACAATAGGATCTGCTACGTTTAAATTAGAAATGAAAGAGAACATGTTACATTTTAAGCCTTTTAGTCGGTATTAAAAGGTTTTCAACTTACATGTACATCAGACTTCATTCTTCTGTTACTTGTACAAACGTTTGCAAAAGGGATGTTTCAAAAAATTGTATTTAATCTCTCGGGGAGAGGTATCAAAAAATAATATTTGGAAAACCTACATAAATAACGCACTGGTCACTGAAACACTTAATCTTCATTCAATAATGAACACACCTGAATGACCTGTATTAACAAAGGAAATTGTCAAAACCTTTTTTCAGGGATTCCCAAAAGGCAGATTCTTTACATAAATTAATTTGAATGACTTATTGATGAGACTTTACCACATAACATCCACACGTGCATGTAATTATGTAGCTAGTTGCATGAAACACACGGTAATATGTCTCATAAGTCATTTGTCATAATTTGTAATTCAAAGCAGTGGAGCTCTCAAAGTGCGGAGAGTCCTCCGCTCAGTAGTTGAAGACACATAGTTTCTGTTAAAGGGAGTATACAACATTTGCTTTTGCTGTCATTTTCAGAAAAGGATGGATTTGGGGGGTTAGTATTTTTTAGCAAATATTGTTACACTGACCTGTTTGAAGTTTGGTGTTCGTAGATGCTGGAAAAAGCAAGAAAAGCAATCATGTTCCTGTAGTCTGGTTTCCTGACCACGTTTAAGATGAAACAGAGCAATTGATAGAAGTCAGGGAATTGTAAGGTCAGGGAACAAGTTTAGCTGGCTTGTACCCGTGTGTGTAAAAGGTGTGTAATGAACAGCAAACAAAATGCGGACCAACTAAATATGGTAAATTGGTGGAAGTGTTTGAAAAAATGCCAGTCTTTTCCAACACTGGTCGGCCGACCAGCATTGGAAATTGATGCAAATATACCACTTTACTTGAAAATGACAGCACACCAGGTGCCATGATTTTGCAGGATCCTTTAGACTATCATTCACTAACAGTCTAAATGATGAAATGATGTTTGCAAATGTTACATATATTCCCTTTAAAATCCAGCTTCTGTTCAGAGCCTGGCGTATCGGGCGCTGCAATCTGTATTGCAGTAGGGCTGCGGCTATCCACATTTCATTAGCACAAGAACAGTTCTAACTTAGTTGATCCGTCGCCAGGGGCTATGGATAAACATAAATTGGATGTGTTAGACCTATGGCATGTAGAAACCAGCCGCTCGGTCGGGTCGAAAGGTCTGGCAGGAATTTTTTGTGGAAATACTCAGTTTGGCCCTTGAAGGCATAGCTTGCTTCATGTAGTGCGATCCGCTTTTATTAGAAAAACTGTACAGGTTAACTGTGCTGAAAAAGAGTCGTTCATGTAGGTATCTATCAAAAAATTGTGGGTGAGAAAATGTCATTTAAAGCAACCAGTTTTGTTTCTGTTTTTTGGTGGGGGGGGGGGATTTGAAGTGATACTTAAATAAGAGCAAATTTACCCAATTCTATCTCCCTAATGGAAAAAAGGACCAAAAATCCCTCATTTAAGATATTGATATGAATAACTTAATTAATTATTGTCTACCCGGCCAGTGAGTTTTCCATTTAATTTTTTATGAAAACACAAGATTTTCAAACAAAATACTTTGGACTAAACCCATCTCTACACCAGCTACTTCATTTGCAGTTTCTGAATTAATAAAAAATATATATAAGTATAGGGGTGGTCCAGGTTTACACTTTTTCAGATGCAGATTTCTTGGAATTGGGGAGACATGTTTAAAATTGGTTCAAGATATTCCTAAACTACAGCTTCTTTGTGGTATATGGTGAGAACGGCGGTGAAAATAAAGCCTAATTAAGAAATGGCAATTGTTTAAAGAAAGATGGTCAAAAACCAGTTTATCCACACGCTAGTCTATGAGATATGGTCAAAGACACAATAGCACTGCACGCACAAAGAACTACGATAATTTTAATTAGGTCTACATGACTGCCATAGACGTGTACAAACTAGTGTTTGACCATTCTTCTGTAAAAGGCCGCTATTTCTTAACTTGAGCTTTATTTTCATCGCCGTTTTCACCATATATGACCAAGATCTTGTAGTTTAGGAATATCTTAAAACAGTTTCAACATTTCTCTTCAATTTTGAGAAATCTGCCTCTGAAAAATAAAAAGAATTTATAACAAATTTTTTGGACCACTTTGTATGAACAATTTAGATATATACTAATGCACTGTAGATTTGCCAAGTCCCTACCACTGGTGAAGTCAGGAGACAAGACCTTTACACAATGACATCCTTATCACTTGATCCATCTTTTCCTGTGAAATTTTTTTTTTTCATTTTTCTTTTAGATTTTGTTTTTTTACATGAATGTCACACGCATGCCTAACAACATTTTTCTTGAAAGTATGTTGTTGTCCACATATTACATTTTCCCCGTACTCGTGGGGTGAAAATTTTAAACATTGATTTTTCAGCTTTACCTGTTCACTTTTTTTTAGGGGGGGGGGGGGTAGAGGGGGAGGTTGTTTTGTTTTGTTTTTGTTTATATATTTAATAGCCTTGTTTTTTGTAGACAGAGAAATAACAGTGAAGTCTTCAGATGAGAAAACTAATTTTTTTTTTTTTTAAATATTCACGACTCTCCGTGGCCCCCTACCAAACACATGCACCAAAAAATGCACACCATGTCAGTGACCATTCCAACACTAATACACAGCAATGTGACAAGAAATAATAGCCGAGAATTTAAATGATCTCAAGTTACAGTCAGGCAACAGCCGCAATTTGAGGCAGCCCGCGTTAAAGAAAAACAGTCGGCCTGACAAGTTCAAGGCCTGTTATCATCCACTGACGTTGGTTGGGACGGTAAAAAAAAAAAAGAAATGAAAAGGGGAAAGAATGGCATTATGCTGTCATGCCAATCTCGTGCTTGTTCGAACCCCTGCTGCCTATCGAAGAGAAAGACTTAAGAAACATACAAAGATCGACAGAAAAAAAGAAGGAAATTTCCCCTTGTGTCGTTCCGTATCCGGCCAGGGTTCAACAATTTTCTTGTTATTATTAAATTATTCTCAGCAATTTTTTTCAGCTTTCTCCTTTAGTGCATGTACCGGTATTATGGATGTTTTTTTTTCTCCTTCTTTTTGTATTACAAGTACTCTTTGAGGAAGTTTCATTGTATTAAGATTCTAACTCACTTGATGGTGACTGTACTCCTATTTTGTTTCGGATGGGCTTGGGAACAAAAATTGCTTGATACCGTCCTTTGTTTTAGTTAATAGTCAATTAATATTTCATTTTCACTTTTTGTAAGCAATGCTTGTCAACATTTGCCATCTTTATGCTGCTTATAAATATGCCTGAACCTTACCCAGCTGGGGGGGGGGGGGGCTTTTTTTCTTGGCATGTTGAGTTTCTTGTACATGTATTTTGTTGGAGGGGGGTTGAATTTGTCTGAAAGACTCATTTATTTGTGACTTTTTCCAGTTACTTATTTTTGTCATTCGTGCAAAGTTTGTACAAACTTTTTTGCGGGGGCACAGAACAAGAGGTTAAAAAAATTCAATTCAATCCATTGTCTGATATATTTTCACAAGAGTAACTGACAATACCAGCCCACGGGCTGTGTAACGAGCAGTTTTCCATGATATGAAGTTTTAGAGATTACTCTAAACATTAACCTCCAGTTTAAATTCCCTAGATGGAATATTTCGGAGGACCACCAACCAAGTACCAAGTAACGATACCAGAAATACAACAATCGTTCGAGCCATATATTCTGATATACATGTATATGTTTCAATCCAACATCAATTTAAAAGAAACAGATCCTCCTCAGATGAATTTATGAAAATTGCTTCACTGTGTTGTGATCCTATTGATTTGTTTACATGTACTTCTAGGTGTAGGATCATCATAATCGCATTAATTTTTTTGCCTCACATTTTTTTGACTTCTCTTTTTGGCTGAAACGGATGCTACTTTTGTCTCTCTGTTTGCAGTTGTTTTCCTTTGAAAAGTCTGGGTGTATGTGTTGATGCAGCATGTTTTCTGCCCTGAAGGAAATGTGGTTGCCATGACAACAGGCCATGACGACACGCGCGTGCCTGGCAGCATTCCAGCCGGCACGTCGTTGTGTGGTGCACTAGGTCCCCCCCCCCTTTTTTTCCCGCCACACGGCCGTGTCACCAACCATTGGTGGCTTAGACCTAGCGAATTGTCTGCTCATGTATTGCGTGTGTGCGTGCATGCATGCGTGCATGATGCACTGACGT